GCAAATTTCTTTTTTAATTTGAATGAAGATTACTCGACATTTACCTGATCAAATTCGATTAATTTTTTTTTATTTTAATTCTATAGATTCATAGAATTAAAATAAAAAAAATTTGATTGAATTAGGATAGATGGGCATCGAGAAATCTTTGATTAAAGTTTAAATAGAGAAAAATTCACCCAATTTAGCTTTTTTTGATATTCGAAGGTTTTTTTAAACTTTTACTGAAGTTTTCTCAACAACAATGAAACCAATTTCAATATACTTTTTTTTATTTTAATTCTATATATTTGTAGAATTAAAATAAAAAAAATTATTTAATTTAATCAAGTAGTTATTAAGAAACCTTCGCTAGAAGTTTTAAAAAATCTTTAGTTTGACTAAGTATATCCCGTGATTATCCAATGATCATCAATGATCAGTAAATTTCATAAGGTGCCAGGCTTTAGATGACCCCCAAATAAAGCAATATGAGATTGTTAGTTAATTCATGTTGAATAATCATGGTTCTGAATTTAGCAAACATGCAATTATAATGTAAATAAAGTGGTGTGTATTTTTTTTGTAATGATCATGTCAGCTATTTTTGCAAATTGTCAAATTGTATAGTAGCATATGATATAATCACATTTTTAATAAAAGAACTTCATCTAGTGTAGGTACCCATAATTTAGTTTTATAATATTTTATAATATATCACTGCCTTACAAGCCTTGTTATATATCACTAAAATTTTCAACTTATTAGTAATTTAGAAACAATGCAAGTATCTATTGAGAAGCGTAAAAATAAAAATGAAAATTCTAACCCTGTTAGTATATCCCAAGAGAAGCTAACCAAAAAGCTGTCATGTCATATTTGCTACAATAAAAAATGTAGACTTGAAAAGGAACAAAATTCGATTCTACTAGTAGAGCATAATGAGCCTATATCTACTATACCAATTATAGCATTAGCAATTAATAACATTACTTTTGATCCAAACTAGGTATATATTATTTAAAATTGTTAAATTTTTGAGATTTTTTTTCTTACTGCTAGGATTGTTTTTGTGTTAATCAGTTGACTTTTTCGAGCTATTATTGAATATATACAGTTATGCAAAAAATTTTGTTCCTACTATTGAAATGATAGAGCCTCTACTGAGTATATTTGTAGTTCAACAGACATATGGTTATTATTTTAATAATCCAATAATTAGTTAGAGTGATTGATTCAGTCTGCAAAAATATTAGGTAGAAGAGAATAAATCTAAAAACTCATCCAAACCTATTAATAAACTTATTAATAATTTTATTCTTTTTTTGTGTTATTAATTATTAGTATCAAACCCAACATACAACCCAGGGTTTATGTATGCAAGACAAAATATTTTATATAGAAAAAGAGTGAAAGAGTGTTCCTTTTTGTCCATCTGATCACATAGCATTGTTAAAAGGAGTTAAAAGCCAAGAAAAAGTTTTAGCAGAGAAATTATTAATAAAAACATTAATTTGAGAAACTGTATTAAATAGTATTGAGCTACCTGAGATCCTACCTGAGTTTCTAGTACTTATTAATAATGAAATAATTAAGGTCAATTATTTTAAGTCCAAAATCAAAGATCTGAATAAACAATTGTGACTTTCTTTTGAAAAATAGTTAGAGATAAAAGAACCACTTACAAGAAGAGATGTGTATCAGCATCTCCAATATAAGTAGAAAAAACTTAAACATGCTATAGAAATTCGAAATCATATAGAATTACAAAATTCTTCAAATATAGTAACCTCATATATTTTTCAAAAAAAAAGACCCAAATAATAATTTCGGTACGAGATAAACTTCAATCACTAAAAGGATTAGTGCAATTTCGGTATATTATAAATTTAGAATATATTACTGATACAAATAGGCAAACCTTAATATATCTGGTATTACTCAATAATTCAAAGACAGTTGTACAAGCAATGGATACCATAAATCATTATTATTTTCACACTTTAAATAACCTCTCATACCATAGCAATGAATTCTGGAAGAATTTCATAAAACATTTTGTGTATATACACGAAACAACCTCTACCCTTTTACTAGTTCAAATACTGCAAGTGCTTATAATATCGAGTATTAAGAATGCATTGATACTTTACTTCGCAATCTTGCCTCACTATCAACTTCTATTAATGAGTTTGTGCAAGAATTTTATAGGAGTCTATATAAAAAACTAGAAAAGTTAGTGTGGGAACCTTTTGTACCTCAACTTTTTGAAATCTTCCTGATGATCGCTATTAATTTTAACACAACTAGTGATTATCATTGGAATGAACATGACGATTTGAATAGTCTATGTTGTTTGGTCACTCTTAGTGATTTTGAGGAGGTGAACTTTGTTTCCTGCAACTCCAAATCGTAATATCTCTTAGGTCTGAACAAGTTGTTGCCTTTTCCTTATGTCTTTTTCTTCATGGAAATTTTCTAGTAACTCGAGAGATTCGGCACAGTATCATTTACTTCATTCATAGTATTTTTTTCTATCATTTGTGAGACTTTTCTTTGGTTTACAGTGATTTTGAGAATGGGGTCGAGAGGGATACACGTGGATCAATAGTTTCTACGATCTTCTGACAAAACCTAAATGATGCTCATGGTTTAAATATCTGAACCAGGCTCTCTAAACCAAAAAAAATCCAAATAACAATTCCTTCTTTATCATCAGATTATAGACGAGGTCATATTAGTTTGGTCTATGCTCGACTAGAATTAAGAGTAGAAGAACCGCTTCCAAATTTATAATTATCATAAAAATTTAAGGGTAGTTTGCAGCTAAAGGATAGAAATTTCATAGTAAAAATTGGCAGAATCATTTATATGATGCTTATACTCTTTAATGACGAATCACCTCTTAATATATATTTTTTTACTGTATTATAAACATATTATATATTAAAAGGAGTAAATTTTTTGTCTAAACCAAACTTGTGATTTTTTTTTTACATAATTTAACTATTTTATATATTGCAAAGTTTAATATAAGTTTATTTCAAATGTACAAAAAATGAATTGCGATATTTATTAGTATAAAGTTATTAAATTTAGCCCTAAATACAGTATAAATCAAATAATCTCATATAATTGATAAATAGATCATAAAAAATGAGTAATTTCAGTAGTTTAATAGCTCATAGTGGCTTTAAATATTCTAATGAAGAATGAGATGAATATATAAAGATGCCTCAAGTTTGTACTAATGAACCTCCTAATGAGTGGATGAATCGAATTTGGCCTCGCTTACAATATTTCAGAAAAAATAATCTATTACCTACTGAAAGTAAAAAATACCTTGAAGCTAGAAGATTGCTAAATGGTGGTTTATATGCTTCTAAAATCGGAATAGCAATATGTTTCTCTTGTGATCAGTTAGTATATACTAGACAAAGAAAGAAGAATATAGAAAATTATAAACATATAGGAATAGAAAGACATTAGAAATTTTCATGTACTAGTAATAAATACTGTAGTATAAATTATGAAGAATATTTGAAAATTAAACAAGAATCTAATTCCAGATATGATTATAATAGTAAGTATATATTATATCGATATAGATTATGGATACAAAATATTATCAAAAAGGCCAAACATGCTAAAGAAATTGGTAAGAAAATTCAAGCTTGTATAACTATACAAAGAAAATAGATTAAATTTATATACCGACCAGATGGTATAATGGCCAAGCAATTAGCTAAGCATTACTAATTATTATAGGCAGTTAGAGAAGAAATATGTCAAATTAATAATACACAACTTATCTAATACCTATTAAAGATATTAAGTGGTATATCTGGTGCAGTCCGGTCCTAGTCTCTAAAAAGTCTGAGTCTGAACTAGTTAAGAGACTAGTTTATCCTCTTGTTAAAAAAAATCAAAAAACTGGTCCTACTCTATAGTTTAATATATTGTTTTAATTATATAGATTGTATTAAATTTGTTTCGTATTGTAATCATATTTATTTAAAATTAACATAAATTAGCCAATTAGATGATCTTGAGATCACAAGAGTATAGGACTAGTTTTTGAACCAGTTCTGAACTAGTCTCTAAAAATCTAGTTTAGACCAGGTATGAACCTGTTTCTCACAGACCACTTAACATCTCTAATACCCATACATATTTATTTATTCGATTTATTAATTATATAACTTATTTATATATATCTATTTAAAATAAATCATCTAAGGTATTCCTTGAGAGCTAGTACTTTAGATTTTATTTTGTTATCTTTTCTAAAGGAAAGCTGGTAATATTTTTTACTTTATTTTTTATATCAACCTGTTTTACCTGACACAAAAACTCCCTTAGTACAAGTAAACTACAGAATTTATTTATTTTTTTCAATATCTACTTTAACTTCAATCAGGCTAGATACTGATAGCTATTTTATTTAAAAATAGTAGAGAATAAGATGCTAAAAACATTCACCCAATTTCAATCACAGCTGGATATGGATAGCTTTCTAATAGAAGTAGTGAGTAAAATATACTTATATTGTTGTATTAATAAATAACGAAAAAAATAAATAATTGTGCAATTATTAAACCTTGATTTATTCATCTAATTTTAGAGGTATGTTCCATCCTTTGCGAATATATAAAGGGTTTTCTTTTGCTCTAGTTAAATCGATAACAATAAATTCTCTATCTTGCAAATTTTTATCAAATATATCAATAACATTTTGCCAATTTTTGTATATTATCTAGCAATATTAACTAGCTCATCATATGTACTACTTACATTAAAGAGAACAATATAATCAAGATTTTTTCTTATTAGTTTTGAATAGTCAAAGAAGGATTGTGTAGTATATATATTACTAATATTTTTATGATGCTCTTCAGTAAAGTAACAAGCAATTTTTCTTGTATTTTTTTTAGGTTCGGTATATATATCTTCGAATATAGCAACTGTTTCTCTTTCAGGAGAGAAGTTATTAACTTTTGGCATTTGTCAGGTTTTAATACTCGGAATGTAATATCTTCATGATATAACTTTTGGCTATTTGAAATTATTCAGTAACAATTATGCAAATGTCTATATTTCGGTTTCTTGAAATGATATCTAATCAAAACCAAATCATTATTCTTAATATATCTCGTTCTATCTTTTTTTCTGCTAAACATTCAAAACATCTTATCCCCAAGTAAGAGACTAATAATCATATTTGTTTTTTCAGATCTAGTTTGCCCACTGACTAGTAAATTAAAAGGCTACTAAGGACATGAGTTAAAACCATTAAATCTTTTCAGATTTTTGTATTCATCAATATTAAGTACGAATATTTCACATGGATCAAGTCTTTCTACTTTTATTCTGGTTAAAATAAACAATACTAATTATTATATTAAAAAACAATAATCTATATTGCTATATACATATATTCACCAGATTTTTTATTCTGATAATTTATAGATTCGAAGTTGTAGATCAACTCACATGAATGTTATACTTATGACTTTATTTTTTATATGATAAATAACCTCTCTTTTGTAATTTACTTTTGATATAGGAAAACAAATCTGTATTATAGCTAATTTCAATGAGATCTATATCTTCTCTTTTGCATATTTCTTGTTTTGTTTGATCACGCATCTGTTGACTATTCAAGTCTATCTTGCCTTGTCTATAGAATATTAGATTCTTAGAAAAATGTTAAGGCTTTTAGAATTTGTATGCCAATTTTAATTCTTCATTATATCTATCTAATTGTATTCCATTCAAAAATGATGGTTTACAAGATAGAAATTTCTTACCTAACAGATCCTCAAAAATATATTTACATCTTCGCTTATCAGTATAATAGAAGCAAATTAGACACTATTCAAATTTTCACTTCAGAACTTCTAATAGATACTCAAACTGATGAAGTTTATTTTTACATGATCAGAGATACACATCGAAGCTATTTATCCGCCAAGTTGCACCAAGACATTTTCCATTATGCTTTCTAGTATATTGTTGTGCTTTAGCCATTTTATTAATAGCACAAATGAAATTAACAGACCCAGAACAAGTATTTTCTTCTAATATGCTCTGGGGCAGATACTGAAGTTTTTCTAGATCAATTAGCATAAGTTCCTCAAGTACAAACCTACATATAGATATAAATTTTTTATCTAAATAATATAATACTGATTCATTCTTCATTACTATAATTTTTCAGATTTTATATAAAGAAGAGCTCCAAATTTTATCTATTGAATGCCTTTAATTTTCTATACCTCCTTCCCATTTCGTATTAGCAAGTAGGTAATGAACAGTATCCTCTTTTT